AGTATGTAAAATAAACCATATTTAAAATCGTATTTAAAATTCAGCCATTTTTAAAATTCGTCCAGTGTCATTCATCCATTTCATTTATAACCCCCTTCCATTGTCATTCCTCTCCATTTAACTTCGTCACTCGTCCTTGTCCACAGGTGATCGTATTGCACACATTGGTGTAGAGGGCACTCTAGACGCGTTCGGGTTGAGTGTGAAAGCCCTCGAAGATCTGGACATGTTGTCTGAGATGGAGGACGATGCAGTTGAGGAAGACGAGACTGAGCGCCAGGGCAACGAGTGCTGCTAGTATCACCACGTGGAGTTGAGTGGGTGGAGTTGAGTGGGTTGGAGTGAATGGACGGGTTGTGACAACCATGGGGGTATATAAGCACAGCAACAGCGCTGTCAGGGGCGTTGGGTAGAGCAGTGGGTACTGTTGTGTGGGGTTGATCGATCGACACACGCCACACAATTAGAACACAGCCACAGGGCGTGGTGTATGTGGGACGACTCACCCGCACGCTCGTAAGCAGCACGGGTGGTGCTGCCGAAGGGGTTGAGGAGGATGCAAACAAGACCTGATGAACCTAAAACCCGAAACAGAGTTGCCATGGGAAGTGGGTTTTTATACGCGAGATGGGGTCACCTGTGCTATGGTGGTACTGTCTCATGGGCTGCGTGGTATGTGACATGGGTGGCTGAGCATCGTTGAACTGTAACTGCAGTGCAAGAGCGTAGCGGTGTAGCTGAACTCGCCGCACAGACAAACAAACGACAAACAATAACACAACGTAAAGGATTCAGAGACATTGGTACGGGAATGGTTGGTGGGATATGTGGGTGTCACCAGCACGTGGTATGGGCAAAGGAGAGGGGACGAATAAAACCCTATACCCACGTACATCAACCCAAAAAAAAGGACATGCACCCCAACCAAAAATGGGACTGAAGTAAGGGGACATGCAACAGCCACGTGGGTCACAGACATGGAGACAGTAGTAAAGCCCCGCCGTTCGTTTGCAGACATCTTTGGATGTGCACCAGTAGCGGGTGTGGTTGGGGAGATGTCGAAACGTGTTACCACTTGTAGTAACCACGTGTAGTAACCACTTGTAGTAGCCACTTGTATGAACCACATGTAGTAACCACTTGTAGTAGAAGCAGCTTGTACCTGCAGTAGCTACCTGTATGAATGCTAGAGCGTTGTTGTAGTCTAGTAGGATGTACCTATAAATAACGGATAGGATAGAGTGAACGTTTACAACTGGCCAGGAAGGTTGTCCACAAACCCGATACGTACTGCGCTCCTGGAAATAACCAAGTCATAGTAAATAAACTGAGTAATCAGATCAGCGGGTATGAGCTTTTGATATGTTGTTTATGTATACTATACGTTCAGCTTACGAATACGTTCCTTACAAATACGTTCAGCATATCATTACGTTGCTTGTTGCTACGTTCCGTTTATGAAGATGTTGCTGTATATTAAACTATCTATGTAGATTGCCAATACAATTCTTATTGATATGTTACTGACGTATACGTTGAGCTTATGAATACGTCCTTTATAATTACGTTGAGCTTATCATTACGTTGCTTGTTTACGTTCCGTTTATTCATACGTTGCTATATATTAGTCCGTTTAGCTTATTAATGCAATGTTTATTGATGTTGCATATACGTCCAGCTTATGCATGCATTGATTATTGATATGTTTCTGTTTTATACGTTCAGCTTATTTATACGTTGCTATTTTATACGTTAGCTTATTTATGTGTTCAACTGGTTAAGTACATGAATTTGCTCATCAATACGTTCAGCTTATTAGTACGTTGCTTAATAATCCGTTGCCTATTGATAGGTTGCTCATTCGTCCGTTCAGCTTATGAGTATGTTGCCTAATAATACGTTCGACTGATGAATTCCTTGCTCATTAATACGTTCTACTTACTTCTGCGTTGTTTATTAGACGTTCAGCTAGTACTTATACGTTGCTTACTTGCACGTTCAATTATTTAATAGGTTTAGCTCATCAAAACTTTTTGCATTAATACGTTCAGCTTGTCAATACGTTACTCATTAATACGTTCATTCTATCAATACGTTTCTGGTGAATAGGTTCAGCTAGTCCAGTTTCTGCAGCTCTTGGGCATCGGGGGCAATCAGTGGTGTACTACGCATTGTTTGCGTAATTTTTTTGGCATTGGTGTACATTCTCTGCGGAGCTACTTCTCCAAATTCATTCATTTCTGTCATTGTTCAACGGAATATTTTATTTATTTGTTTCACTATTCACCATTAAAGGCTATCCAGCTTTATTTATGCTCGGCTGTATGTGTTTGTGTATTGGATATTACGGTGCCTAAAGCCCATCAGCAATAGCGTTGACAACTGTTTCACACTCCATCGTCAGAAAAAAACCGAACGACAGTTGTCATTCTCGATGATACCTCAAAAAACCNCCTTACATGTTCTGGCTTGTAGCTATACCAAGCGATATATTTAATATATATA